TACTTGTTTTGGGAACAAAGATATTACACCTTGCACATGGAGGTGGAAAGATCTTTCTCAGAATACTTCCTGCAAGACTGGAAGGTTACCATGCAGAATGTATGTTTCTGTAATTAACAATTTCAGCGTTTTAATTCTGTCCATTTCCACCGAAACGAACTTCTGGCTCAAATTGCAACTTGAGGCTCTTTAATATGTTTCACACTTTTGCTCAGGGCTGTTTGTTACACCAGCTCTTTGAATGTTTGTGGCAGAATTGAAGAAACAAACTCACTCTGGATCAACGCTACCCATAACAACTGCGTTCATGCATGGATCTGCAAAATCCATTTGTTTGGGCTCAATTTGGAACGGGGAGCTCCCAAATCCCCGAGATTAGTCAAATGCAGTGATCCAATTCCCAGAGGTGCTGGGTAAAGCACCTGTTTGTTAGGTGTGCTGGCGCCGTTTGGGGTTTTGAGTGTTGGGTTGTGGGGTTTTTTCATTCAAATGAATGAGAGACCAGCAAAAGCAGAAAAATAATAGTTCTTAAATGAGTCACACTTGTCTTTATTTAAGACAAGTTAAGACTTCTTGCAGGTGTCTATCCGATGCAAAACAGTTTAATCTACCGATTCTACTATCTTGAGTTGCTTGATTAGTATCTGCCTGAGAGGATTTAATGAAAAATTGCTGATGTGTGCTTAATAAATAATTTAATACCTGTTCAGTTGTTTTTTTTTTCCTTTCTGCATTACATTATTTCTTACTTGAATCTTTATATTTCCCTGCTTAGTTCTCCTTGGTATTATTTTAGTCCATGATCAGCAGAGAGAATTCTCAAGAAACCAAAATTGTCTGAATCTGTATTAGCAGACTGCTAGAACTTGTGTGGCAAATTAACTGTCCTCTAAGATTTATAAATCATTACAGAATTTTTGCATTTCACTAAAAATGTCTTCCAAGATTTGTATTCCATTATGATCTTTCAAGATTTGGACTATCAAGGTTCTGAATATTAGGTGTTAATTCTGAAAGGTCATTTGGATGACATGTAGATGTTACTGAATAGTTTATTGATTTCCTAATTATTCTATTTTTGTTACCTCTGACGCTATATGCTTATTTGTTATTTTACAATTTAATCAATATGATTAAAAAGACACAGAAGGGAAGCACTATACATAAAAAATAATTAATGTTTTAGAGATAACGGAATTTCTATTTACATCTCACCCATAAACAAAGAGGTAGTCAATAACATTACAAAAAAATTAATAGGAGAAGTAAGTACTTTTATGCACAGTTCACAGTTAGGCTTTAATTTTTTAAAAATTTTTTTTCAGTCCTTCTGAAAAGCAAATTTTCCCTGAAAATATGCAGTTATAACATATTACAAAAAACTCCCAATACAGATAAGTGACAACAGGTTATAAAAATTCCTGCCTGATAATACACATATTTACACCTCTGACACACACTTCCTGCTTTTGCAGCTGTCTTTCATCTTATTTTGGAGCAGTCACAAGAACAGGGTGAACAAGACTTGGTGAACTCCTTCTTAAATTACATACTTTCTGTGTGTATGAGAAATAGAAAACTCATCGCCTAACTCTCACACGAGATGAGGGCCAGTGTTGTTACAAGTGGCCTCTGACATTAATCTGCTCCTAGGAGTGGCAGCTCAACGTCCCCAGGTGCCAAGAGCCACCAGCAGCTCTATTGCTCCACAAGTTGACTAAAGGATTAGAATTGCTTCTTGTCAAAAAGCTGCACGTTTCAGTGATAATGGAAAGAAACAGCGGCTTAATAAACAAATAACATGCTCACATGCCCAACTACAAATTTTCACTACTTTTCTGACAATGGGAAGTTTGCACAGCTCCTAATACAGATCTCAGTGCTGTAAAGGATGAACCTTGTGAGATCCTGTCCACATCTATTTTCTAAGACATGTAACTTGATAGAACCTGAACTGACTGCATAGGCAAGTCAGTGACTCCTCTCCATAGAATTGTAGAGTATCGGGCTGGAAGGGACCTCAAGGATGTTCTGGTCTAACTTTTCTTGGCAAAAGCTTCATATTGAACAATCTGAACGTGTGTTTGTGAAGTGCTTTCCAGTGGTGGGTAGCAAATACAGTTACCCCCATTTTAAAAAGAGATTAGAGTAGATCAGAGCCTAACACAATACCTGAATTTTCTGATCAATTTAGCATGATCCCCGACAGATGAAGGCAGAAAACGGATAAAAATGTTCTTCTGCTGGCACTACAAGAGATCTGTGTGTTGTGATTTAACAAACCCTTGTTACGTGAAAAAAGCCTACACAATACTGATACAGTAACTCACTTGATGACTGGGATTCTCTGCTAAGACGACTAGACTAAATGGCATGCAAAAGTCTCTTAAAACGTGTTACACCTTCAGTCCCAATTCTTTGCACAGCAAAGCATAAATCTGTCCTTTGCTTTTACACAATTGTATTTTATGACCAAGAGTTCACTACCTTCCAAGTTATGTTTGTCATATACAAGAGTCAATTTTATTATACGGTTTTGTAACACAATGCTATTCACAAACAACCTCAACATGAGAAACTTCTTTCCTGTGCGGGTGCCGGAGCCCTGGCCCAGGCTGCCCAGGGAGGGTGTGGAGTCTCCTGCTCTGGAGACTTTCCAACCCGCCTGGATGCGTTCCTGTGGGGCTGCCCTGGGTGACCCTGCTCTGGCAGGGGGGTTGGACTAGTTGATCCCTAGAAGTCCCTTCCAAACCCCAACATTCTATGACACCAAAGGTCAAAGTTGCCCAATGTAACGGGAAGCTTCATATTACTTACACTTAGGTGTCTAATTTGGGAAGATCTACAAGAACTACACCAGTGCTGGCTGCCCCTCAACTTGAGTCCCTCACAATTTGGTGATGTGAAGCAGACTGTGCACTGCTACAGTCTGGACGGTTCTCTCTTCCTTTCTGTAAATGTTTCCCCATGTGCAATTATAGTTTTCTAAGACAACAGAATGATCTAGGTATAAGAAATAAATTTTGCCTAAAAGGACAATTACCCATCAAAAGTTAAAAACTGAAGGAATAGCACATTCATCCTTTTAAAGGTCTCTGCTTGTGCTTAGTTTAATAGGTTGGTGGCAAGAAAAATCCACCATCCGGGACTGGTAACAGCACGTTTTTCTCACATATTGCCTGCTTTTGGGGCTCTCTGCAATATTTAGATTTGATTCTAGGCATGTAGTTAAATGCTCTTTCTGAGCAATGACATTCTACATTGATGCTACCGAAAAGCAGAGAAAAACACCAGATACAAGAACCTAGATTTGTTTTATGCAATGGGTAAAAAAATATAAACAAAATCCTAACACGGTATTAACAGTCTCAAGCAACTCACGCATCTATTTTAATCATCCTATAGGTAACAAAAATGGCCACAATGCCAAAGAATTTCCATCAGAGAAAGCTTGTATCAGCTGGCATAGAGAGACCTTCTCAGCAGTGAAATGTGTTGGAACTAAGCAATATACATTTCTGTCACAAAATAAAGGAGCGAGCATTTATTCTAACTCACTCTCTAATCCCAGTGGGTTTCAGCAATTATCATTATCTAAAAAAATTGCAAATTAGGCTGCAATTACTGTTGACTGTGGCAGCACTGCGCTCTTTTTGTGAACAAACAGATCAGAAAATATTAATTGAAATCACTGCAAGTATTACAAACTTCTACCAATTATTCACTGCAGGCTTTAAAATAGTGTTTAAATCAATGAGTTTTCTCATTGCCTTTGCTGAAAAGCAGGTCCCAGGCACATGAGGACAAAGATGTAACCACGGATTCCTGACACTTGACATGCTTTTGATCTGACTTTAAAAAACGCCCCGATCACTCACAAGCCGGCTGCACTGTGTGGTAAGAGCTGAAAAGGCACCAGCAATAGGAACGGTTGCTCCGTACCACGCTAAGCTCAGTGTGTTATTTATCCATTATAACTCTTACAAACCTGGTAGGAAATTATGAAACCACCTGTGACTCATGTGAGCAACCAGCAGCCCCACATGGGCAGGTCACCGGGAGCTTCAGAGAACGTGGGAAATCTCACAACTAGAAACAAACCCACGGAGAGGAGAAGCTTCTAGGGAATTGCACGCAAACACCTTCTTCCAAACGCCCGCTTGTAAAAAATCCTTCCTGCAATCGCTCTGGCAACAGATTACTGCGCTAGCTGACCCCATTTACTTAAACACAAACACACTCATTATGGTTATAGCTCCTATACAGTATACTCGCCTCCCAATGTATTATAACAAGACAGCTTTATTCCCTAACGTCATCCCAAATCTATTGGTGCTAAGAGGTTATTATCGTTTGATGCTCAGCTGTGCATTGTGCAAGAACTGCACAAATAAAGTTGAACAATTTTTGAAAAGGCCAGAAGGATTTTATAAAACATCCCGGCATGAAAACGACTGCTTAGAGAAAACAGTAGCCCCGTGCATGCTTTCAGCTTCCAATTTGGCCAAAAATCAGATTTAATTTCCAAAGAGTACTCTCCTCCTACACACAACATGGAATAAATGCTTCTGCTATAGGAAAGATAAATCAGAGCACTGCTGGGCATGCACACAGGGTGCTTGTTCTGGGGAAACAAGTTCTGTGAGCACGGAATATCCATTCTGAATTTGTGCACACGTGGATATCAATAACAAGGACTCCTATCTTCAAAATGATGCCAATAGGGGACTGCTGAAGCACTCCAAAGATGAAGTTACTGTTTTGTACTGTCTGAAGCAAGCACCGAAAGGGAGGGAGGACCCTCCACACATTTTTAATGCAGCCCAGCCACCTCTCCCAAACTCGGTGTCAAGGTCTGTGCTTTTCCCTGGTGACAACTTGACAGGGAAAAGCAGGAAGCTGGCAGACAGGGTTACCAAGGTCAAAAATTGTGGCATATGGAGAACTTAACACGGTTTATTACTTTTCCTATGGTATTATGATACACTAGAAAACCAAGTAAAATCTGAAGCCATAAAAAAAGATACTAGTTCTCCAAAGCGTATTTTTCTCCCATCCTGCATCAATAGGTAGTGACACCATCTTTGGAAATCACTTCTATCTGTCTCAGTGCTTAGAATTGCACCTTCTCCATACTCACCATTTCTATCAATGGCAAAAGGAACATAAGCTGTGACAATTTCATAATTGCAGATCTGGCTGTACTGTGGGGAACAGTCCTCGTCTATGGCTTCTACCTGCAGGATGCTGTCATAGATCTTTCCCTCCGTCACAGCGGCCTTATAGACACTCTCCTTGAAAGCTGGTGAAAACTCATTGACGTCCTTCACCTGGATATGGACCACTGCCCTAAAAGAGATAAAGACAGACGTCAAAGTAAAAAATTAAATGATCATGATGCATCAGTAGCAGTTCATTTTCAAAACGCTTGAAAAGACTGACAAAACATATCTAGAAAGCAATGTAAACATCTGCTAAAGTGAGATGTTACTGAATTTCTATGTTTAATTTGCCCCATTTAATATCTTAACGTGTCACTAGTGAAAATGTAGTGACACAGCTTGCAGGGAGAGGGCTTCACAGTGCCCACTGTTAAAATCACTCTGCCTCTTAAAATGGACCCCAGTAGAAAGTCAATGGTATCATTCCAGCGTAAAATGGGTTATTAGGCAAAAAAAAGGACGAAAAGAATTTGCTGGTTATTTGATATTGCAGGCTTCCTTCTAAATGCGTCTTCTCCCTAAATATTCTGAAAAAGTTCAGCATGCATTACAGAGCTAATTAAATTTTTAATTGTCATGTGTCCTCAGTGAGCAAAAGGATGAATGGTTACTATTAATCATTTATTTAAATGGCTCTCAGCAAAACGAACAATTTGTACAGCGGTTACACATCTACATGCGAGTTAAATTCATCTTTAATGACAAATGGTCTGGAGCTTGGTTTCGTAAATTGAACAGGAAAAAAGGCCCTGTGCCACTTCAGCTGATGTAGGGAACTGGCTCCCCAGGATGAAGTGCCACCTACTAACCTTCCATGCCCCGCTCTTCCAGAGGATTTGAATTCCTCTGAGACTTGCTGTCCAAAAGCTCAGGTCAGAAAGACACCGTGCAAAGTCAATACTGCTCCAGCTTAGATACACGGACATACTGAAAAATATAGGGTGATTTCTCTTTTCTTACCATTTGAAATGAGATGACCAGAGAGGAAAAACTACTTAGAATTTGTAAGTGTCAATTAAAAAGCTAGCTTCCACGTCCTGGATGATCATTTCAGTCAACACTTTTAATGTGAAAACAAGAACGGAAAAATAAACGAAAGCTGAGATACATTTTTCCACTTGAACAGGGATCCTATTAAAAGCTTCAACCAGAACTATTACAGAATGGGTTAAACTGCAGCAGGCAAAAAATAAGAAAGGAAAAATATTTTCTAAAGGGAAAAAGGAATTGGAAGTGGATAGTCTGCTGCAGTAATGGTTCATCTTGGTTTTATCTGCTTTCTACTTGACTACAATATAAGGAGGAGTCCTTCAGTCTGATCTGTACAGTAGAAGAAATGTATGGCAAAGCAAAAAAAAAAAAGAATAAATTATAAATTTCTCCTAATTTTCACCCACTTGTGAGATTTCTTCCAGTTTGTTCCACTTGGTCCTGATCCACAATCGTAAGCCTGGATGATGAACGTATATTCCTTCTGCAGTTCGCAGTCAATAGGACTCTTCGCTCGAAGACGACCTTCTCCAGATGTCTTGTTTAACACAACAGCTTCAAAGGGCATTTCTTGCCCATGAATTTTAAAAGCACAGATTTCACCTGTAAAGAATAGTATAAAACAATCATAACCAGGGAGGTCTAAACCATACATGTTTGAGTCAGACCGGAAAAATTAGCTCTCCTTTGTATTTCACAGGCTGTGATAGATGGCATCAGTTCATAACACGTCCAAAAGAGCCGCCGGCCACGCGGTGGGCGCAGCTCTGGTCCCGTAATTCCCTCTTCCTCCATCATTACTCAGTTTCTCAAATCATCATTCAGCTGTTTCTCAAAGCCCTAGAGACTACTCCCTAGATACAGCACTAACATCAGTGCTGGGCTAAATTATTTTTGATCTAATTAGGAAGACTGTATTTAGTCAAAGAAAATAGCAGAGGAAATTTTAGAGGTGGTCTTTTCTAACTGCTGCCACTCCCTCCTTGAGCCACTGGAGCTGCCAGGTGGTAGCAGACGTTCACGTTCTTGCAGTTTATTTTCCCAACAGTGAAAAAACCTAATGATGCAGAACATGGGCACATTCAAAATATAACTTGCTTTATTTACAGATATCTATCATTTCTGGAACCACAGTAGCTGACGGAACACAAGGGAGCATCCCTTTTGGCCATCTCGGCCACCCACTCACATTCACACACTCAGACAAGGCTCGCTCTGCCCTCAAACTGCCTCCTGATGTAACAGATCCATAGTATTCTCTCGAAGGAATACTATAGATCAAAACAGATGGTATAGTGAGGACTAAAAAAAATTGATTTGGACACAAAAGACAACATAACAAATCTTGTGAGAATGAGTCTGGAAAGGGAAAAAAACCCAATAGTTTCTGGTGATCCTTTTTTTTATCCTTCATTCTGGTGGCAAGGGTACTCATGGTGAATTCGTTTTTAGCCACTCCAGAATCCAACTTCAGAAATGAAATATTTATACAAAGACCAATGCGGCTTAAATATTTTTATGACACATTAAACACATGCTCTTTTGTGAGCAAGTCAGTCTTGGGACATGCATTATAGATTCAAAGCTGTCTCCCACTCACATAATCCTTTTCCATTTATTTCCAATTTACAGTTGCAGCCTTGTGGAAATCTCCTTGCCAATCATATCTGAGTCAACTGCCAAATTCTAAATTAACTCTGAATCTATGACCTCTAATTCAAGTCTGGCTCCTCTCCCTCTCTTTTTGTATTAGAATATATTGTTTATTTTTAGAGAAGAGATTAGACAGTGACTTCATAAAAGTGCTAGTGTTCATAATTCCTGTCATGTGTGAGGAAAAAAGGGAAGAGTGTGTGGGGAAAGTGGGGATTAGGTGCACTTAGGGTATTAATACAGGCTTTTTTTGGATATTCCCTCAACTACCACCACATATGTTTCGCTTTAGTATAATGGGGGCTGGAGCCGAGCTCAGCTATATACATCGACATTAAAGCAAATGAATCCCACACTTAATTGAAATCAATCCTATGAATGTGCTTATGGGATTGGCACACAGTTGGTTTAGTAGTTACGAGGCACTGGGAAAATACATCAAGAATTTGCTTGGGCATTTGCTTGCTCCAGTCCCTGAGTGAAGCGTCACAAAAGGCCGGTCTGCTTTCCCAGGACAGACAAAAGATGGGCTCTTCCACACACTCTCTTCCTTTCATCCTCAATAAGTCCAAATATTTAGGCTAGAGGTGAAGGAATGGATTTCACTCCTATATCCATAGAAGCGGGCTCCATGAGCTGTTGCGTAGGAAACAAAGCACAAGCTAAAGAGAAGGCTGAAGCAGAAGCAGTTCGTTGGGCTTCGACTGTGGGCGCTGATGACCGAGTTTGCATCTCAGCACTATCACACCTTTGAAAACAAATTATCCTCATTTCCCTGCAACTTGAAAATGAAATATTAATCTAAAATCATATTGTGGACTTCGGTTTTATTTTAAATGAATACAAAGCTAGCAGTGTAAATGTGGGAAGCCTGATGGAAAAATACAATTTGTTGTGTTCTGTAACAGTGCCTTCATAGTTTCTTAATAATAAAGTTTTCCTCAGATGCACAATCCGTCATCAGAAATCAGAACTTTGGTGGTTTGTGTTTGTTATTCTATTGATCCACTGTTTGAGTGTAAACAATTCAGCATTTGCAGACTGCCTACTGTTCTTAAAAAAATAAAAACAGCTCAGAGCAGGAAAAAAGTTCTCTCAGCCTTAATCTAAACATTTATTTTTTTCCTCTCTAAATGCAGAGGCCTGATGCAAAGCAATCATAGAAGCACCACACGTTCTAATTAGTTCTCGGCAAATATTTCACAAGTCTCTATATGACGCTCCTATGCTAGATAGTCCAGCTTTATATAAAACTCTAATTCTCTTTTATATCCCCATTTACCAAAGATAAAGTAATGACAGCTGCGTGGATATGGGCAGATATTTAACAACGCACTGCAAAAAAACCCAAACATACACTTCCACATTCTGGCTACAGCAAGCTATTTATATGAAAATAACAGCCTATGTTTTATTAAAACAAGGTAGAATTCTTTTAGAAGGATTCTACATTCCAAAGAAATGTGTTAACACTGTTGAAAAATGAAAATTTATAGTAATCACGACTCTTAACAAGGGGCCCTAATGGCTATATTGGAAATGGAAACGATACCAGAGTTGTAACAGCTGTAACAAAGCAGAAAATTAAAGAAGATCTACTTTTACACTGCGAGACACACATATTTACAGATATCTAGAACTACGACTACTAGGCATTACAAATAGTGTTTTTAAAATATAACGGATACTATTTTTTCCTTATTAAGTGGAGCCACAGGGCTTAAATTAAAGCCAGCTGAGCTAACCCCAGAGCTACACGATCCCAAAGGGAATTGTGCCAAGTTTATATTCTTCACTGGGTTCTTGGGTACATATTTTTATGCAACTCATTTGAGAAAAGGGGTCCATTCTCATAGCCAGGCTCACCATTTAAGTTGCAGAACAACCCCATTCAGGACCCCGGCACTGTCACTTTCCTTCTCCTTTGTAAGGCTGAACGACTCAGAGTGCAAATCGGGACATTGTTTTCCTCCCAAGAGACAACACAGCAAAACATTGAGCTTTGTCCTTCATTTCAGTGGAAGGGCTTTGGGAACGGGCGCATCTAGGATTTAGCGATCAGAGAAATGGTGGTGGCAGTGGGGTGATAAAATAGGGATAAGCTGGTGATACCACATGAAGGTAGAAGCACATCCATGCGATCCTAGAGCAATTGCATCCAGGGTAGAGGGAAAACACCTTTTCTCCCAGGGCCAGGACATACATCCCAAGGGCTTCCAGCTGCTTCCTATGAGATCTTGTGATTGCAGGGCTGAACTGTACTAGGAGTTGCTTCATTTTAACACATGCTTTAATTAAATTCTGGACATTATGTTTTCTCTTCAAATCATTCAGACTAGCACTAGCCATAAGGATCTATTAATTTTAAAGTCTATATTATAAGTCGAGAACTGCGGTAAATATCCATACATTACTACTGCAGGGGTAATAATAATATAATTTCCTCTGTAAAAATTGTAAAATCCTAGAAAAAGCAACTGACAGTTTATCATTTCTGAAATATAACCAACAAATCTTTCCACTGTTCAGAAATTGCTGGAGACAATGTTTCACATTCAGCAATATTTACATATAAGATTTAATGATTATAAGCCTTAATCAACACAATTGTGTTACGAATTACTGCCATTCATATGAAAAACAAAACTCACACTTCTCTCGGTAGTAATAAAAATTCCCAACGTTACTCCTTTAACAATCACACAGAATTATTCACTTGAACTCAATTTCAGAAGTTATTAAAAGAAATTGCATGCTTACTTTGCTTTTCACAGCTACCTTTGCTTTTTCTTCAGCTTTCATTACACCAAGAATACAGAAGATTTGAAGTGAAAAGCTGGGATCTCTGACATTCGATCATTTTCATCAACAGTGAATAAAAGGCAAAGCTTGTATGTGAATCAGCCATCACTAGATGTGGTTTCACTTGGTTGTATGAGG